ATCTCTTTTTAAAAAATCTTTAGATCTCAATTTCCTATTGTTCGGGATTTAATGGTTGGAGAAGTTGATGCTCTGAGACTTAATTTAGAAGAGCACAAGTTAGGCAGGTGGCAGGCACCTGTAATCCCAGCTACTGTGTGTGTGTGGGAAGACTCTGAGGTCAGCCTGGGTGGCACAGTGGGACCCCGTCTTGGAGAAGGAGGAGGAGGAGGAGGAGGAGGAGGAAGGACCAAGAAAAGAAGCGAGGGGAAGGAGAAGGAAAGGGGAGGAGGCGGTGGGGAGGAGGAAGAGGAGGAGGTTAGAAAGGGAATCAGAAGGAGGGAGGAGAAGGTGGGAGGAGGGGAGAACTAGGAGGACTGGAGGGGAGAGGAAGGGAGAGCAGGGGGAAGGAGGAAGGAGGATTAGAAGGGAGGAAGAAAGAAGGAGGGAGGGGAGAGGGAGAAACAAAGCATGCACTTTGATAGCAGATAGACCCACGTTCGAATCTGGCCTCTGCCATTTACCGTGTGACCTTGGGCAAGTTTCTCAGCCTTTCTGATCCGTTTCCTTATAAATTGGGGTTAGAGGTAGTTACTGCCTGGAGTTGCGGTGACTATTACGTGAGGTGAAGTAGCTCCTGGCAACATCACTAGACACCTAAGGGGCCCGTACAGTCACTGTCCTGAGTTTCAAGGCTGTAGGGAGTGCTCGGGGAACAGGAAAGGAAGAGGCAAGGGACAGACGAGCAAACCATCCGAATGAGCCTTCCCCACCAGCACCCATTTCTAGGGGTGTCCCAGGCCACCTAGGTAATGGGCAGCTCTTTGAAATGGAGAGGATTTAAAATTTAAATGTCTTTGTGGGCAAGATAAACACACCTACCGCTCAGCAGGGAAAAGGAAACTTGGCAGGGGCCCCAGAACTTTCCCCACCCTCAGCCCTCCCTGAACTTCCTCTTGTGGTTTCTCAAGAGTACAACCTGTCCTCCACAGCCCAGGCTGGGGCAGGGGCCGGCTGAGGGCCCCAGCACGCCCCACCCTAGAGCGAGGGAGGGAGGGTGCACAGGGCAGGCAGAGGAGAGCGGGAGGTCTGTACAGTTTTTTTGGTTGTTCTTTTATTATTTTTATATTACATTTAATCACATATATCTTTACAATGTATAGCATTTCTTTTTCCAGCATGATTACCATGCATATCAATCAAGACAAAGACATTACTATCCACATCACCAGCAGCAAATAACTTATTTTTTCGGATTATTATTTTTCTTTTATTCTTTTTCTTTTCTTCTTTTTTTGTTCTTGAAGCAGTTTTTGCTATATGGGGCTTGTGCGCTTGCCAGAAAGACAGAGACAGAGAGACAGAAAGGGAGAAATCGCCCCCCAGGGGGGATGGCCACGCCACAATCCCTTCTCATCCATTCTCCTCACACCCAGCATGAGTTTAAGCCACTGGGTCTAGGACTCGAACCACGCTCAACCACATGGGAGTCCAGCGATGTAACCATTACGCCATCTGCTGGCCCCAGTTCTTTTTCTCTAAGCATTCGATCCGTATACATGCGGTCCATACAGTCCTGAACGTCCACATCCGGCTTACCTGTCATCACGGTGCAGCCCCTCCTATCCTGCCCACCTCCCCAGCATCAACACCCACCTCTCCCACACACCCCCTCAGCCCCCTCGAATGCACATGGTAGTTGACCCAGGCAGAGAGGGATCGCCCCAGGGCCTCCCCAGATGTGTGCACTGGGCCCATGTAAGAAACCTAGAGAATCAGAAGGGGACAGGAAAACGGCTGGGGCCCACGGAAACTCTGGCCTGTGGTCTGGCTGGCACAGAGGGCATCGCCTCGGCCTGCCTGAAAGAACGACTCCAGGTGCAGCTGTGCCTGTGGCAGCTCTGGGGAGAGGTGGGGAGCACCTCGGATCTAGGACCACCCCCAGGCCCTGACCATACCTCCATCACCAGGCTAGAATGTCCTTCTTGGAACCTACAATGCGAAAGTCTCTGCTATTCTTTGTTTGTTAATTTTTTTGGGGGGGAGGGGTTTTTGCCATAGGGCGTATGCACTTGCCAGAGAGACAGAGAGAGACAGAGAGACAGAAAGAGAGAAATCACCCCTCAGGGGGGATGGCCACGCCACAGTCCCTTCTCCTCCATTCTCCTCTCGGGATCCTGGGCATGCATGCACACGCGCCCGGCGTGAGTTTTAAGCCACCGGGTCCAGGTCGCAAACCACGGTGGACTAAATGGGAGTCCAGCAACATAGCCATTACGCTAACTGCTGGTCCCTGTTTGTTCATTTTAATTTATTTCTCCTGTAAGTGGGAAAGAGCACAAGGGAGCGTGCCCTCCTCCAGGGTCTTGATGCCTCCAGGCCTCCATCCCCAGCCCGCAGCCAGCCCCAGCTGTGCTGAGAGCTCAGGGAGTCCCCATGTAGGAGCCCTGCAGAGCATTTCAAGCTTATGCTGCCATCTGGGATTATTCTGTAAAACTTCACCAGGGAGTGTGCGCACTCCCTGGGGAGAGAGTGAGAGCAAGAACGAGAGACAGAGAGAAAAGGGAGGAAAGTGAGGAAGCACACTGCCCCCACGGGGAACGGTCACTGTGCAATCCCTTCTCCTCCTCTCAGGATTCTGGGCATGCACACACGCCTGGGCCTGGTGTGATTCTCAAGGCCCAGGGTCCAGGTTTCCAGCTGTGCGGTCGGCCGGGTGGGCTCCAGTCTCCTTGACCACCACATTACGAGGCTGGTTCCCTGTCATTCCTAAAGATACCTGATAAAAGGGGCATCTTGGTGCCCCACATCTCCATTCCCACACGTCGCATCCACGCTGACAAGTTCTTTCTACCTTCCAACCTTGGTTCCTTCCCTGTGGTCCTTTACAATTCCTTCTCCCTCTGAGTGAGACCTACAGAGGGGAACACGCACACACGCACACCAGGAAAGGACACCAGCTCTGTGCAGTCCTCGGGACCCTACCCTGGGCTTGCTGGGGCTCTCTGTAAGTAGTAGCAGCACTCCATCTCTGCTACGTTGCCAGCCACACTCCTGTCACCCCGTTACAGGACGATGCAGGACCACTGAGGAGACTAAGCCCCTGGCTCGAGTGTACACTCCCTGTGGTCCGTCAAGGCAGTGTGCTAGCCTAGTGGTCAAGTACAGGGTGTCCAGGGGCCAGCAGGCGGCATGGTGATTAAGGCACTGGACTCCCATGTGGTCCATCCTGGTTTGAGTCCTGGACCCGGCAGCTTGAAAATCACACTGGGTGCGAGGGTACACATGCCCAAGATCCTAAAAGGAGAATGGAGGAGAAGGGATTGCGGTGTGGCCGTCCCCTCTTGGGGGGATTTCACATTTTCCTTGTCTCTCTCTGTCTCTCTGCAGCAAGCACACGTGCCCTATGACAAAAACTTAAACAAAAACACAGGCTGTCCCAAGTGAAGCGCTCTTCCATCATTTATTTCTCATGTCCTCTCTAGGAAAATCACGCATCTCCATTGCCTGAGTCTCATCACCTATAAAATGGAGATAACCCTAGTGCCTACCTCATAGACCTGTGAGGAGGGGTAAATGAAGTGTCACGCCTAAGTCACCTGAAGTGCTGGGTAACTGTTGGTACTCTGAGCCTGTGGGAAGGAAAACAAGGAGGAGATGCTCAGGACCCCAGAGGCTGCGGCCTCAGGAACTAGACACAGCCTGGGGCCCTGCTGGAACTACCAGAGATGCTGTCAATTTCAAGAGGGGGGGGCTCTGACTTGTTTACATAACATCCCCAACACCTCGCCTGTGCAGATGAGGCTCGCAGGAATTGAGAGAACAGAAGAATCTGCAGGGAAGCAGGAGATCCACCTTCTCACCCAAAGAGAGCTGAGGTGGTAGCAGGGGGCAGGGCCTTATTAGAGTAAACAGGTCCCAGAGCCCAGGGATGGGGCCAGGGTGCCCAGATTGCTCCACCCCTCCACCAACCCAGAGACGTGCCTTCCTCTGAATGCATCATGTTCCTTCCACCTCTTCTTCATGTCTAGACAGTGGAATAAAGAGAGCAGACGTTGGGGATCAGCAGATGGTGTAATGATTATGTTGCTGGACTCCCACGGTCCACCACAGTTCGAGTCCTGGACCTGGCGGCTTTAAATTCACTCCAGGTTCCTGTGCCTGGGAGCCCAAAATCTCAAGAGAAAAATGGAGTATGGATTGCAGCATGCCCCCCCCCCTGGCTGATTCTTGCTTTCTGTCTCTGTTTCGCCCACGCACTCTATAGCAAAAATCTCTCTCTCAGAAAAAAGAGAGAGCGCGCGCCAAGGTGCAGAATGAGTAGGTGGCGCCAAAGACTTCCCACCAATTCTCTCCCTGGTCATCCTTCAGACCCCAACAACGCACATGTCCTTTCCACCAGCCTGGCCAGGGCACCTTGTACACCGTCCTCTGTGACCCAAACAACGATCCTCAGCATCCTATACAACTCCCAGCACAACATCACATCCTCAGCACCCCATACAACTCCCAGCGCGTCGGTGCTCAGTCGACGCAAACGAACAAACTGAGCTCCCTGAATATCAGCAAACAGCTTCTTAGGCTCTATCTTGTTGACAGTTTAGCAGACACGGAGGAGCCATCGGACAGCACAGAAGCACCGACGCCAAGGGGCCTAGCAGTCTTAGTCCTGCCCTCCCGCCCCTCTCCCTCAGCCCTGGATGGCCACAGCACCTTCAGGCGTCCCAGCCGCACCGCCGCCCACCCCATCTCTGAGATATGACCAACAGGACCAGCCCAATAAAGCCACTGGACTCGCAGCTCAGTTCCGGGGGGCTGTGCACGCAGAGAGGGCTGGGGTCTTTGGGCTTCTGTGTCCTTCAACTGGCACAGAGAGCTCACTGCGTTGACTAGTGAGCCAAGCTCTGGGGGGCCAGCGAGGAGGTGAAGAGGGCAAGGGGACCCACTCTCCTCCCCGAGGCCCCAGCGGAGGGGCGATGCCGATACCCCCCTACCCTGGCTTCTCCAGCCTCCAAGCCTACCTCCAGGACAGGTGAGCCCCCCGGATCATCGACAGCGGCCGCAGACGCTCTCTCCCCGGTCTCCGGCTTCGGTCTTTGGGGAGTGGGGAAGGGCCTGATCACCAGCCTCGGGGAGGGGAGTTCGCCCTTCCCCCGGGGGCCCAAACAGAACCTGCCTCCTCCCCCGCAGGCGCGGCGTGTTTACAGTCTGTGCCGCGCCGCCAATCCCGAGTTAAAAGCCCGGCAGGAAGTGGGGAAGAGGGGGCGGGGGAGATAAAGGGGTTGGGTACTGCGCGCAGCTAAGGTTCGAGCTGAGGTTTAACTCGCGCGGTGCACCCCCGGCCTGCAGACCCCGCCCCACCAGCCCTAGGTGAGGGGGCAGGGGCGCCGCCGCGGCTCAGGTGTGCGCAGCGCGCAGGCGGGGCGCAGGTTCCCAGACCGCTGCCCTGTGTGCGCTTGCGACTCGCCCACGCGCTACCCAGGAAATAAACAACAGCAGGCGCGGTTTCTTGACCTCTTACTAGTCATCAGGCACCGTGCCGGGCCCCTTTCTGTGTACTATCTGGTACCACCCACCCCGCCGTCCATCCCACCCCAATTTTGCAGGTGAGAAAGCCGAGGTACGGAGGGGTAGGTAATGTGTCGAAGTCCCACAGCTGGCCAGTGTGAAGATACAAAGCCAGCGCCCGCGTCCTGCCAGACACTCGCAAACCGGGACGAAGACGACGCGGCGCGGCACCCTCCTCCTGCAGCTCTGGGTCACGAGGCGATGACGGTCGAGATGGCCACCGGCAGCCGCGTGGACGCAACACCCTGGAGGCGAGGGCCGGAGGGGAAAAGCCCCCGCCGCCCC